AGCTTCCGGCAAAAGCCAGCGCTTTCGGGTATTTGCTTGAGCGCAGGGGAAGAGGGGCAAACCTGCAAACCTGCAAACCTCGCCCCTCCCCAGGTCTCACCTTCCAGCCCTGTGCCCCCCCAAAAAAGGGGGAGAAGCAGCGGGGAGGTAGATTAGGGACAAGTCCCTCTCTGGCGCTGGGTCCTGGCAGGATCCCTGCTGCCTGCTCCCGGGGCGCCCTCCACATCCTTCTCGCCTCCCTCCACCCCCGGGGAGCTGTGACCTGGAGGGGTTCCCTGGGGCAGAGCGATTTGGGAAGGAGGTCACGTCACCCTGGCCGGGCGAGAACGGCACGTAAAAAGCTCGACGGAGGCCTTATTTGGTAGCGGAGCAGCTCCGGGCTCATGGCCTTCATCCCCATCCCATGCCAGATCCCTCGTCCTGGGGGGACCACAGCCAGGGGGAGGAAAGGGGTACCCCGGGATGGTTTCTGTGAGGAAATTGCCCAGATTGCCAAAGATTTGTCCCCAGGGCTCCTGCAACGCATCTTCCCCCCCCCGTGCTCGTGCCTCTCCTTGCTTTTTCGGTGCGGGGTCAGGAGGGTTTGGGAGCAAAGCTCCCGGCGAGGACACAGGGACACCTCCTCCATCCCTATTGCCATCCCCCACCATCCGCTCCCTCGCCTTTTCCTTTCGCCGCTTCCTCGTTCCAGCCCCGGGCGCTCACCGGCACCTCCGGCCCCGCTTCCTCTCCTCCCGTCCTCCTGTTTCGGGCTGGAGCCGCGGGGGACCGGAGGCTGAGCTCCCCCCCAAGTCCCAGGGATGGAGGAAGCAGCATCCCTCGGCCTCGGCCGTGTTTATTTTGGGGAGTTTTTGCGGGTTTACACACAGCCCGGGAATCCAAACCCTGCCGAGGGGACGCTCCATTAGCATCGGGAATATTTACACAAGGGATAATCCCATCAGGGCTGGAATGCCGGAGGCAGGACCCTCCCCTTTCGCTGTGTTTTAGGGCCCCATCCCAACCCCGGTGCCATCATCGCTCTCACCGGGCTCTGGGCAGCCGAGCGTTTAATCGGCTGGTCAAAAATTAAAGCGGTCCCCCATGGAAAGGTGGTGGACGGGGGGCCGGGGTGGCAGGAGGCGATTAAATCCTTCGTCAATGAATCACCCGGGTGCCTCCCGCCTCTCCCCGTTAACGTTCACCGGGGGCAGGGGAGCGCGACGGCTTCTTATGAGGAGGAGGAGGAGGAGGAGGAGGAAGAGCAGGGCCATCCTCAAGCTGTGACCCTGGTGTTCCCCTCCCCTCGCATGCCCCCAGCCCCTCGCGTCCCACCCGGGCCCTCCTCAGCACCCCCTAAACCCGCTCCCAGACTGGACGTGGTAGTTGGGAGCACCTGGAAGAAATCCTTGGTGTCACCCCAAATCGCAACCCCAAAACACCCCACCCAGAAGAAACTCTGGGAAAAAAACTGAAACGGGGTTGCTCTGATAAAACTTTTGCCTGCCCTGACGTTAAGGGCAGGATTTGGCCCTGGGAGCGTTTTCGGTAGAGGCTGAGCCCCTGGGATCTCTCGGCACAGGAAAGCCGGGAGCAGCTCCCCGCGGGCTGAAAGCTCCTTTTCCATTTAAGGGCAGGAGAAATATTTCCGCCGAAAAAAACCTCTCTTTTCCCGCGGCAGACGGGGATCCGAACCCACTCGGGGAACTCTCCCTTTCCCCACCGGTCCCACCTCGTCCTAACGCAGCCCAAACCCTCCCACCTGCTTCACCCAGCTCAGGGACGCTGTTTATGTAGGACCTACCCAAACAGCCCCCTGGCACCTCTTTGCGGGGTGCGGATGGGGAGCACCCAACACCTCATATGTCCTCCGTCCCCCAGACATCGTTCTGGGGCTAAAACCAGCAACGGGGTCCTTTGGCGATGCCGCTTCACCCCGTGCCCTTCTCCCCTCTCCCACTCGCCGCCATCTAATTTTTACGGTTTGAAACTAAAAAAACGCGTTTGAACTTTCCAAGAAAAACAAGTCATTACCGAAGAGAAGAGAAGCCCTTCCTCGGCGAGGCTGCATTTCGGAGGGGGGGTGGGGGTGGGGTGGTTCAGGGTCTTTATCTCTCCGATTTATCTGCTGGGCTGCAATGGGGGCTAAGTTTTCTGGCGAGCCGGGCTCACAGGGGTTTGGATTTCAGGAAG